ATGGCCAGTTAGCTCACTTGGGAAAGCGTGGTGCTGACAACACGAAGTCAAGGGTTAAGATCCCTTTACCAGTCATCTTTTTAAAAAAAAAATTTTTTTTTAAAAACACGGAATTTAAAATGACAAAAGTCCTAATGAAAAACAATGGCACCATGCCCCGCCCTTCCCCACTCTCCAAAGCAATCACTTTAAAATATTCCAGATCTTTTTTTTTTGTCATTTATGCTCATATTCTTAAATATTACATTTACACTGCTATATTCTATTTTTTAAAAGAATGTAGGCATATATTTTACCTCCTGTGACTGTGGATGAATATCTGGCCCTCTGGCATTCCTCCCCCTTTGCCTTCTCCCATCATCCCAATTTCCATCTTTTAGAATATCTGGTTAAATTGAAAGCTATTTATGGAATAAAATTTTTGTAAGCCCCAAATATTATAATAATTATGCTTGAAACCATAAGTAATAAGTCACAATAGTATTTAACTGAGTAGACTGTTAACACAGGGCCTTTGAGATCTCAAAATGATGGATAGCCAATAACCCTCTACCTTCATAAGATAAAATTTAAGCTATACCTATACTTATTTTGTACTTGAGGACTGGAAGTTGAATTTCTAACAAGTCTTTTAAAAAGGGCAACGTTCTCTTTCAAAAGTTGGTTTGAATAGTTGCTGCCTCAGAACTGTAACCTATAAACTTGTGACTAGATGTTTGGTATGAAAATATAGTTTTAGGGAAATTGTTATGAAGAGCTGTGTTTGTTCACTTTCATAAAGTATATTATCATAGGAGGTTGAATTTGTCACCAATCTCTGATAATTAGCTCACTCACGGTGACCTCATCAATCTTCTTATTATTAACGTAACTATGTGGGTTCTCTTGCAAGTTAAGAAAGTACCGCTGGAGGTCTTCCTTGTAAGAATTTTCTTCAAGAAAAATAAATGAGTGATTCTTACATTCATCCGAAAGCATGACATAAAGTCCCATCTGTAAGTACAATGCATCCTAAAGTACTGTTCTCACACTGTTCACATTTTTATAGCCAAGCATCCGTCCCCTCCTTTCAGATGGTAGCGCTATCACTTTTTACTCATTTCACCTTCTGTGCATGCACACCCATCAGATGTGTCAAATACTAATTGATATTATTTTCCAAATAACCAGCGAGTCAAGTTCACCACAAGTTTTACCTTCAGCTGACCACTCCACGCCATCCTGGGGCCTTGGTCCTCCTAGTCCTGTCTGGGCGGGGACCCCCACTGTGGCCTTCCTGTTTGCTTCCCCTTCCTGCCCTTCCCTCTCCCTCTCCCCCTCCCCTCCCTTCTCTCTCTCCCCCTCCCTTCCCCCTCCCTCTCCCTCTTCTCCCTGTGTGCACACTCTCTCCCCTTTTCTTCTCTTTGCCTTTTGGTTCTTTTCTTTCATGTTGAGCTTCCCTCTTAAATGGCTATAGTTCACATTAAAGGGTGAGGCGCTGAGGCACTGACTAGGAACTCTGTCAGCCTGTTAAGTTGCAGTTTCATTGCTGGGGGATCGGACATAGGTGGTTCACTTTCTCCAGTTTTCCACCCTAACTTTCTAGTATTCCCGGGGTCCTCAAGTCTAGTTCAGCTTGCCTAGATCTGTGCTGTTCAATAGAACTTTCTATGACGGTGGAAATGTTCTATCTCAAAGCTATCAAATACAGTAGCCATTAGCCACATGTGGCTCATGTGACTGAGGAACTAAATTTTTAATTTTAATTTTGGTTAATTTAAATAGCCCATGTGGCAACTGCCAACCATAAGATAAGAAAATAAGCCTCTTGTTCCCTCTGTGCTCTATTTTGGTAGATAGGGCAGGAGGGAAACATAAAACATAGAATTTCAAAGTAAAGTCAATGTTAACTCCTAAAATGCAAGCTTTGGAGATTTAACATTTATTAATGCCAGCATATATGAAATCAAACAGAAAATAAGCTGAAGAATCAGTTGACAGACAATGAGAAAAAATAAGAAGAGCAATCATTTTACTCACAATATTTAAAATTTTTTCATTATCGACTTTAAATCCCTTATATGAATGCCATAATTCTACCTAACTCATAGAACACTGATTTCAGACAGTTTTTTACAGTCTCTGTTTTTGCACTACAATACGGTTACATGCCAGTTACTTACTCTGTCTCCAGGTTTCAGTAGTGGTTCATTCTTACTAGTCAGTTTATTAAGTAGGGTATAAGCCAATTTCAAACTCCGACTCCAAAGTTTGCCTTAAATAAAATAAAAATACTAAGCAATGTGAAATTTAAGAAACTTATAATTAACATTTTAATGTAACAATCAAAATACCTCATAACATTCCATTACCCTATTACTGAAAATTCAGGTAATTTCCAAGTGATAAATACTCTGCCCAATGCAGTAATGAATATCACAGTTGTCTCTAAAAAGCAACTTACAGATTTATTTTTCTTACTGAGAAAATAAAATAGCATATTATAGAAAATTTAGAATATAGAAAAGCCAGCAGAAAAGTCAGTATTCTGTTTGTATGTATATGTATATACATGTGCATGTGTGTACACATACACACACATACATACACACACATATGTATACATGTATGTGTAAGTTTCAAGAAATTAGGTCATACTTCACCCTGCTTTTTAAATGAACATTGCCTTGTAAATGCATTTTCGTAACACTAAATACCCCTCCATTGCATCATGGATAAGTGTAGCACACAATCCATTTAATCTTCATAACAATTCATGAGATGGGTTATATCTTCATCTCCATTTTTTACTCAAGAGAGTCAACAGCTGCTAGAGCAGCACATCTGGACTCATGCCAGGCCCAGACCCATAACCTGGTCCTCAGCCCTGTGAGGTCCCCAGCACCATGCTCCCCTCCTGGCATGCAGCCTCTGCACGGGTGCCCAACCCTGGTGAGTACACAACAAGGACAGCATCACAGAGGAAGGCAGGAAACGACACAGAGGAGAAGTAAAGAGGACTGAAGGTGTCAGAGGAGGCAGACAGAGGCAGGGTGATAATGTGGTAGGAAGACTAAAAAACCTCAGTCCACCCCAACACCTAAAGCAGCCTGGTCGCTACACTAATGTGGGGTGAAAGCCAAGCCTCACACTGCAGGAGAAGACATCTGCAGCAAGTCACTGACAAAGGACTGGAATCCAGAACAAAAAAAAATTTCTACAAATAATCCTCTGCAAAAAATGTGCAAAAGATTCAACTGGTGCTTAACAAAAGAGAAAATCTAAATGATGGGAAAAAATCTCAACCTATTTAGTCATCAGGAAAATGCAAATTAAAGTAACAATGAAATACCATCATATTCTCACTAGATTAGTTAAAATTAATAAGCCTGACAATACCAAGTGCTGACAATGACAGGAAGCAGGAAGGACTCACACACTTACACGAAGCTACATAGCATCCTGACCTAGTGCTTCCACTCCTAGGTGCTTTCCCACAAGTGTGTGTGTTTATGTACCAGGGGGCACACCCTAGACTCTTCCTAGCAGTACTGTTCTTATAGCCCAAACTGGAAATGACCCAAATGCCCATCAACAGTATAATGGACAAGCAAATTCTGGTATAGTCATTCCTTGACAGCAATGAATGAACTAAAACTATACAGAGTAACATGGATGAATTTAAGAAGCATAATGTAAGAGACTCTGTTTCCAGGTGGGAGAGAGCACTGAGGGCAGACAAGCACTGCTGCCTAAAGTGAATTTAAAACCTGGGTGAAACGTAGAAATCATCTATGGAGGCAGCAAAGAGCTGCTCAACAAAGATGACTGGGAGAGTTAAGAATCCAGAGAGGGGAAACCCCGGGGAGGTGAGCAGACCACTGCAGCTGTTTCACGCTGCAGGTGTTGATGGGTCCCGTCCTCTATAGGAGGCTGAGCATCTGCCAGGCCTCATGCCATGCAGAGTGCCTCCAGGGCATGGAGAAACCCACAGAGCTTTCAGCAGAGACTGGGAGCCTCAATAGCATAGCCAGCTCCCTTGGGAAGTGTGCTGAATCCTCAGGCTGTGTGCAGCAGGAGGTTAAAAACACACATGGAAAGCCTCTGAAAATCAGAGTGGGGACCTTAAGCAGTCAGATGAGAGCAGCACTATGGCTAGGGACCCACCAGAGGCAAGAGACATGCAGAAAACACTGGGCACTCGGTGGAAAGCCCAGGAGGTCTACAGGGGGAGCAGAGATAGGATGAGCTAGCTTCAACTGGGTCATAGTGACCAGCCGCTATTCCACTTGCCTAGTGGAGAGGAGGGAGGACTTCTCTCAAGGAAGATGACATCATCTGGACCCTCCATAACTTATACACAATGCACAATATTCAATCAAAAAGTACTAGGCACCCTGGGCCGGCCCAGTGGCGCACTGCTACAGTGCGCCACTTGGGAAGCGCGGCAGCGCTCCCGCCGAGGGTTCGGATCCCACATACAGACCGGTTCCCACTCACTGGCTGAGCGAGGTGCGGGGGCAACACCGAGGGTTGCAATCCCGTTGCCGGTCCCGGTCCGGTACGGGCGCGACACTGAGGGTTGCGATCCGTTGCCGGTCACGAAAAAAGACAAAAAAAAAAAAAGTACTAGGCATCCTAAAAGAAAAGTTTACCTAAAACCAAGAGAAAACAGAGAAGAGCAACAGACCCAAAGGTGATCCAGATACTGGAGCTAGCCAACAAAGACTCAACTACTGTAATCAATGTGCATATTCAAGGCAACAGAGAAGAGGAGGAAAATGTATAGAATGATTAAAAATTTTCCCAGAGAACTGGAATAGGAATTAGAATAGAGAAATGAAAATTCTAAACTAAAAAGACCATATCTTACATTAAGAACTCATCAGGAGTTTCACAGAAATTTCAGAAGACAAGTTTAAAGGATTTAAATAAAGGAAAATAGAAAATATCCAAACTGAAGTATATATAAAAAAGAACACAGAATGTAAAAAGAACATTAAAGGCACATGGGATTCAGAGAAAAGGTATTAGTGTAACTGAAGTGCTAGAAGGAGAAAAAAATGGGGAAGAAATCTATCAAGAGATGATGGTTGTAATTTTTCTAAAACTTATGAAAGACACCATTCCACAGATGCAAGAAGTCCTATAGGCTTCTTGAAAATTTCAGAGAACATCACATCTAAATATATCATAGTAAGACAGCAGCAAGCCAACGAAAGAGAACATTTTTAAAGCAGCCAGAGAGTAAAAAAGACATTACTGTCAAAAGAGCAATAATAGTCTGGCATCTTCTGAAAAGCCAATAACAATATCTTCACAGTGCTGAAAGAAGATAAATGACCACCAAATATATCCTTCAAGAATGAAGATGAAATAAACTGTTATTGGGCAAATACTGAGAGACGTCCTTGCCAGAAATATGCAGGAAGTTCTGCAGGCTGAAAGGAAATGATTACAGAGAGAAACGGAGAATTGCAGGAAAGAATGTATTGTAAAGGGAAGAATAAAAAATATATGACTGACTTAAAAAAAAAATAGCAATGGTATCTTATGCAGCACAAATGAATACAGACTTAAGATACAAGATGAGGACAATGGAAAAACAGAGAAAGTGTGTCACAGGCGGGGTTCTTCAAGAAGCAGACACTGAGACAGAGTTATGCATGCAAAAGTATTACTGGAGAATAAAACCCATGAAGAGAAAAGGGAGGTAGCAAGATCAGGCAGGAGTAGCTGTCAGACCACAAGGTAAATCTGACAGTCTCCAGAAGCTCAACAGAGAGATCCAGAGCAAAGGCTATATATATAAGGAAAGTTTGTGCTGAGCAGGAATGACTGGGCCCTTGTGCCATACCTTATTAGTCATTGGCCACGGGCTGCCCCACCAACAGCATGATCTACAATAGAAAGCTAAATTTAACAGGTGGAAGCCGTAAGCCAATCCTGTTCCTCCCAGGTGGGCAACAAGTTCCTTTCTTAAAGAACTACAGACCAATCTCTCTAACAAACACAGAGGCAAAAACCATAAACAGCACATTGGCAGATCAATTCTAGATATCTATTATCAAAAGATAAGATATTATGGCCAAGTGGGATTTATTCTAGGAATGTAGCATTGCTTAACATCTGAAAATTAATCAATGTAATTCACTAAATTAATGGGGGCAGGGGAGAAAAACCTTATGACAATCTTGCCAGGGCAAAAAAGGCATTTGATGAAATTCAATCCCAACTGACTATAAAAACTTTTAGCAAAATGCCCTTGTTCAGCCCTGCCCCATGAATCCCTGCATTGCCACAGGACTGTAGAGTCCCCACCAAGAAAAAGGCCCTCACCAGATGTGCCCCCTGGACTTTGTACTTCCCAGCTTCCAAAACTCCCATTTTAAAATTTACGATAATCTTTGCAGTAGGTATAAATATGAGAAACTAGGGACTTCCGGTCAAGATGGTGGAATAGATGGTCCCTAGTGTCACTCTCTCCCAAAAAACAACTGATTTAAACTATAAAAACATAACATCAAGTGCATATGGAACGAGGAGACGTCCAGTGGGGGAGGCAGAAGCTCTGTGGAGACCACATGCCCTGCAGGGCCACCGTCGCACGATCTGGCAGATAGGCTTTACCGCCAGCACCCGGCTCCATTCCCAGCCCAGCCCAGTGTGTACAGAGTGGGGAGACATCCGGCAAGGGAGGCGGAGGCTCCACAGAAATCACAAACCCTGTGGGGCCGCCACTGCGTGATCCAGCAGGTAGGCTTCACCGCAGGCACCCGGCTCCATTCCCAGCCTGGCCTAGTGCGCTCGGAGAAGGGAGACGTCTGGCCGGGGAGGCGAGAACTCCATGGGGACCACACTGCTGCTGCGCAATCCAGCAGCCCGGCCCAATGTGTACGGAGCACAGAGACGTCCAGCAAGGGAGAAAGAAGCTCCGTAGAGTCCACACACCCTGTGGGGGGGCCACTGCCGCGTGATCCAGCAGCAGATAGGCTTCACCGCCACCACCCGGCTCTATCCCAAGCCTGGTCTAGCGTGCACAGAGCAGGGAGACATCCTGCAGGG